TCAGAAACTAATTCTTGCTAAAGTAAGGTTTAATGAGACAACCAGGATTATAGTGTTTCCTTCCCTCACAGTAAGGCTGTCTACTACCTGCAGCACTACTACATTTATAGCTGTTACAAAGTACTCTGCCTCTCATTTTTATTGTATTCAGCTGAGTTCCTTCTTCACAACTTTCATTCCACTCAAATATACAAACTCTTTTACTTTGAAAAACAGTATTAAGGAAAGCAAGTACTGTATTTCTAAACATTCGTGTATTCACAGGAGACCAAAAGCGTATATACACCTTAACACAATCTGTAGTGGTTCCATGTCATTTTACATCAAAGGAGGCATCAAGAACTGAAAAAGCAGCAAGGACTATAAGCAATATTCTATCCACTGAAGGAAAAATATAGAAGAAAAAGCCCTGTTATTTATAACTGATTAACATAATTGCTTCACATTCACCAGAAATTATGTAGGACTTGTAAATCATGTAATTTCATAAATTTTGGCTCCATATCTTTATAATCCATAATTTTACATTAATTCAAAGGCTTCAGATACTCTTACAGAGTTTGCCATGGACAGTCCAGAGAATATATTTTAACATCTCATGAATTAAACATTAGAATAAATGAATGAACGAATGAATGAAGTTCAGTTTAACTGGTGGCCAGTCACACGTCATGTTCCCCAGAACTCTGGGCTAGTTCTCTTTAATACTTGTATCAACGATCTCAACAAGGGATCTGAGTGCACTGTCATTCAGTTTGCAGAGTATATCAAGCTGGGTAATAGTGTTAATCTGCTGGAGGGTCAGAAGGCTCTGCAGAAGGATCTGCAGGCTGATCAATGGGCCAAGGACAATAACATGACATTCAACAAGACCAAGTGTTAGCTGACCATGAGCCAGAAGTGTGCTCAAGTGACAAAGAATGCCAATGGCATCCTGGTTTGCATCAGAAATAGTGTGACCAGCAGTAATAGGGAAGTGATCCCTGTACCCCTGGGGCCCAAGTCCTCCAAGTCTCTCTGTACTCAGCACTGGTGAGGCCACATCTCAAATCCTGTGTTCAGTTTTGGGCCCTCAGGACAAGAAAGACATCTCCCTGCTGGAGCAAGTCCAGTGAAGTGCAGTAAAGCTGATGAAGGGTGTGGAATAGAAGTCCTGTATGGTGCGATTGACGGAGCTGGTGTTTAGTCTGCAGAAAAGAAGGATGAGGAGGGACCTCACCACCCTCTACAAGTACCTGAAAGGAGGCTGTGGCAAGATGAGGGTCAGCCTATTCTCCCAAATAACAAGCCATAGGACAAGAGGAAATGGCCTTCAGCTGTGCCAGGGGTTCATGTTGGATAGAAGGAATAATTTCTTCACTGAAAGGGTGCTTAAGCATTGAAACAGCCTCCCCAGGAAAGTGATGAAGTCATCATCCATGGAAGTATTGAAAACACAGCAGACGTGGCACGTTGCAATAAGGTGTGCACAGTGCACATGGTGTTATTCAGTTGATGGTTGGACTTGATGAACTTGGGGGTCATTTCTAACCTTAATGATTCTATGTCTTTATGATTTCTGTGTTTTCAATGCCTGAATTAACAATTTTCAAGCAGTCGCATAACATAATTTTTATATAGATACTCTTTAGACGTGCCTTTTAAATTATATTAAAAGGACATGTAAAAAACTAATTTTAAAATTTTGAACAAAAATTCAAAACATTTTAGTGTTTGAAGGGAAGGACATCAGTTTTAAACCACTATAAGCTGTATTTCCACATTTAGAAATACAACTACAAAAGACAAGAAATAATGAATGGAATGAAATCAAACTGAAATAGAACAAAAATAACAAAATGAGA